AAATGGAAGAGTGCACGTTAGAGGAAAAAACCCTTCTCAAAAAGAACATCTCGTAACTTCGAAACACATAAAACAATTTTGCTTAAAAGTCTACCATCCGTAGCAGAACTATCAGAAACAATGCATTAAACATAACTGGCCGCAACGACGAACTTGGTACCAAAACGCGGTTCACCGTGTAACTCTGGAGATCATCTCCATTTAATTACATTAACCTTAATTATAAATGTCCACTCTCGTTTAGATGACGGACCGCTTTCTAGAACCAAGTTCATGTCAAGCGTTATAAAATGATCGCAGCCTAAAACATGAAATTTACTAATGAAGCTGTCGTGTCATTTGCTTTTTAGTATATTGCGCTGCTCTGCGGTCCATACAAGCAGAGCGAAATCGTTATGAATATCGTGCATCATAGAAAAGGGACCTAACTTATCAAGAATCTGCTTATCGATCAGCACTTATCAGTCGCTTTAACACGCTGGCACGACAACAGCATGTCATACGGAAATCACACGCAGCTGACAAGCCATAAGCATAAAATTAATACTTGACAGCAACATCCAACACGCTCCATCCGACGTCCAGCGCCTGCTCCACACGAAACCGTCGATATCCGAAATTTCGACATTTATAAAGTATGATTCGCCCATCTAAAAACACCTGCAACTAAATGTAACTCAGTCGTAATGAAACAAACTTTATTTTTAGAAATGATTTTCCACACCATTAACCAACATTTACGAAGCCAAATGGCCAGCTTATCATAACCTCGGTGCCAGGCTGAATTTTACTTACCTTAGGTAAACATTAACACTGCCTCAAAAAATGAAACGTACAAGTAATCACATGCTTCACGACAAAGTTGCAATGTATATTTTGCTTTTAAAGTTCTAGGACAAGGTATTTAATTCACTGAACTGCATTAGCAGGTCCACGTTCGCAGCTGCACGCCCACTGCCTTGTTATTTTCCATTGACATTTGCCACGGTATTAACATATTAAATAAACATTTTATTAATTTAATTGCCTGAGAGGACATAGAAAGCATACAGTCGTCTAGTCAATGAACAGCAATAATTAACGTACATGACAAACTGCAATTTTCGATAAAAGTGTGAAGTCAAGAAAAACTTCGGGTTTAATTTGTAAGGAGCTACCGCCCCTCAGCACCCAACTACAATGGTCTCCATTCGAAAGTCTAACTCTATAAACTGCGAATCAGTGAATGATTTGTGGGTCTAGAAACTTTACTTTACAAACATATATTTCCAGACTTCAAATCAAATCGTTTTCTTTATTTAGAATAGTTGCTGCTTCCAGAGGAAGTTTCCAGTACCACGGAAGCATGCGTCAGACGTCATTATTATAAGTCTAACGATCTTCAGCATAACTGCACCAGAAAACATGATGGCATGATAATTTGCTAGTCAATGGCGTGCCATTTATTGTCGGACAATGACCTGCTACCCGTTTTTCGGTTAGGTGCACTGATGTGCAGTTGAGTGAATTTATTGCTCAAAGGAATTAATGGCTAAAAAGAAAAATTTTACGCAGCGTTGAGACTGAAACCTGATACTCCCAGAGCGCATAGCCAAACAACCTTTATAGTACCTCTGCCATCCGTCATCATATCATCTCGCTTTCAGCGCGCAAGAAACTACGAAGATCCAGCTTCACGAAACATTAGTTAAATTTTGCAGTGTGCCTACCAAATCAAAGTATCCCCTTCGCTCTGCTGTATTGATTATAATATTTACATTATCCTAAGACTTTTCTTGTCGAGTACCTTTCTGTGTACTCATACAACTGTTCAAAAAGTCTGCATTTAAATCTTCGGTTATGCAATCGTGCACAAGCACCCTCGTGGCACTGGTGAATGACTTTCGTTTCAGATGCAGTGGCAGTTGTCCTGGAAAACGACACTGTGTGCACTATAGGTCAAATTCAAGTACTCCGGTTGAGGCGGAGCTAAAATTCGAGCATACACACTATCGGCTGAGCAAAGAGGCGTGATTTTGCTTTAAAAACAAAACACTCCTGACCAATGCCATAAAAACAAGCATCATCGTCGCACCATAAGCTTCATGAAATGAATGAAGCAACAAAATATTCCCAATCATGAAAGAATGAGAAAACCGATATTCCAACGGTTACATACTTTCCATTTTCCATTTACTTTCCTAAAAAGCAACGGTTCGCAAAAAGTGCTGAAGCGAAAATTCACTGTATAAATTCGGCTGATACAAATGCAAAAATGATTCAAGTGACTAAAACATCGTTGACCATGAAAACGAAAATAAACGTCTGGTAAAATTACCCTGACAAGCGCTTATTAACATGTCGCCATCGTTTATGTACTGTGAACAAAACACTTTCGAGCGGTTTCGGTCCACCCGTGTCTTCAAAACAGGGAAAAGCCTAAAACAAGCATGTTACAAAAACCGTTTCAAAGAGGCAGTGAGAACAGAAAGCGCAAGAGGAAGAAAACTACGGATACAGCCAACTTCACACTTAATTTAAAAGTAAAAATTACGAGTTACTTACTGGTTATTGACGTAGCATTTTTCGGCTCTGGTGAAGCTGGAAGTATGCGGCGATCCGTACTGACGTTTCGCAAGTCGTTCGACCAAATTCCGAGAAATCGAATGGCTTTTCATGTCAGCTTCTCCGCTAGAATACGCCGTCGAAATGCAGATGTCAGAAAACTAAAAGCGATCAAGCGTCATTCCTTCAGTTACTAGTGTCAACTTTATGCGTAAGACTCTTCGCTGCCATTGCTGGTAGGCTAACCGCCATTTAAGATTAAACATTCTTAGCCATTACAATGGCCTAACAGATGAAAATAGCGCGGGAGCACACTCAAACAGGTTGAGGCATTGGTGCTGCCCACTATTCGCCATTGGCGTCTTTCCGTGAGCGAAACCTCACCAGCTGCTTCACTTTCCTGAATGTGTTGAGTTGGATGAAGGTTGTGAAGACTTTGACCAGAATTCATAAGGGCTGGCAACCAGAATGTACTGCTAAACAATTACCAACCACAAAACACTTAAAATTAAACGGAAACGGGGAAATAGGCGCCGGATATCGCGTCTGCCTGAACAGCACCTACAACTCTTAACCTAAACCACAAGACGCGATTGGTAAACGGAAGTGAAACGTCATCAACATCTTGGTGGCCAGCCACAACGAATGAATGCTTTCGACAGACATCAACTAAATACGTCTATATCTAAGAAACGGAGAAGATCAAGGCTGACATCATGGGATATGTGCATACCGGCAGATCTATGGAACCCGCTGCGCATGGAACAACGGTGGCTAAGTGTTTCTCAGGAAGAGCTTTGGAATTGGGTTCAACATAAAATTGATGATTGCACTATTTGTACTGATCCGTTATATTATACTACCCCATATACCACTTTTGCTTCATCAGTGGGACAAAAGAACAATCAAAACAAAAGAGTCTAAAAACTAAACGTTTGCTGCTACGGAAAAGATCATATAAAGTTTACGACAGAAAAATGAATGAAAACAGAGAGCAGGTTCAGAAGCACTTTAAATTCTTTGTTTCTGAAATTGTTATTTATAGTTACCTACTCAGTTAGAGGAACAGAAGCTTATCAACGACACCGCCATACAGGAACAATGAAATCGTCTGAAGACTTCAAAAATAGAAGAATGGATTCGGTAGGACTTATCCGTTAATAGACTTGTTTTGAATGCGTCTAAAACTACAGAATAGACCTGTAATAATGCGAATTATCAATAATTGAACATTCTAGGGCCTCTCATTACAAAATCTGCTTGTAAGTAATAGTGTAGTCATTACAAGTCAAACTGTCATATACCTTGGTGTGATTTTGTCACTTGAACTTTCATGGCAAACACAGGCACAATTTTTTGCGAGCAGGTTGAAGAGCTTCATTTTATGTAAAGAATCAGAGCAATCCTTTTGCACCGCACAATGTTATTAGGAAATTTTATATGTATTTGACCATTTTATACATTCGTACTGGGAGAATTTGTTCAGTCATGACGACTGGTGACTTCCAGGCGTTAAGGTTTAAAACGAGTTGCCTTATTCTTCGATTTTTAGAAGCTAGAAATTGGCACTCACCGAACTCTGCGCCATTCTTCTGCCTGTTTAACGTACAGAGTGGAACAAAACCCGTAGCCTCGCAGAACTTAGGTGGCAAAAAAATCCTTTCGAAGAAGCTTAAT